GGCCATTGAGCGTGTCTCGAAGGGGTGCAAACAGGTCTTCGATCATGCATGGTATGCCGTGACTCTCTTTTATGTGTCGTTTCCATGGGCCCACCTGGAAATAGGCTCGATCACATTCAGGACATTTCAGCACGGGTGCCTGAGGACAGGGATCATCTGTGGATGCAGGGATGGGGATATGGTTCTCAGGATAATCCGGGGTCAGGACACAAATGTCAGGCGTGCTAGACTGCATGGCGAGCTGAGTCAGGTCAGCACGACGAAGGCTCAGCGTGTGTGGGAGGCGGGACTGCTGCTGTTGCAAGTAGAGCCATGGTCGATTCAGGTTGAGTCTGGTATAAAAAGCATGAGTAGTTTCACGTGTGATGTGAACCGGTGACCTGGCCATGGTGTGATGGTGTCTGTGAATCATGCCTACAATTTGTTGAAATCCCTTGGCAATGATTCCCATCTCATGTATTCCGTATGAGATCGTGGGCAGGACACATTAATTGTACAATCTGATTCGGACATGGAAAGGATGGTGTGTGTCCATGAGTCATCGTCTGAGGATCCGAAAATAGATATTGGCCGCTGTGACTCGACGAGTGACCGTGTCGTTGGCGAAAGCATTATAACTTATCATGACACCTAAATAATTGGTCTTGTTGACGATGGGCAATCTCAAGGCAATGTCCGGCAAGTGCAACAAAGGTCCCTCTTTTGGTCGAGAGATCCATCGCTTCAAAAACGTCGGGGCATTTTTGCCAACCAGGCGCATAATAATCACACTTTTGGATTCATTCACCTGGAAACGGTATGCCTTGAGCGTGCGCAAGATATATTGCAGGTCATGGATGGCTTCGAAATCCTCGGCAACCGGTCTCATTATCCATCTGAGGTGGATGTCGTCTGCATATATGATTATATGAGATTGAATCCACTGCAGGTCATATCTAGTTAGAAGATCATGGAGGATGAGGTATATGCTCAAGGTCCACAGCAAAGGGACGTCTTTTGATCCCTGCTTGATCCCGCGAGAGGCGGTAAACCTGGCCACAAGGTCCTTGTGGGGAACACAATATTCATGCTTCCCAAGCCATGATTGGACAAGATGTCGAAGATCAGAGTTTATCTCGAACAAGTTGATGGCACGAAGCACGTGGGTTCGAATGATGGCGTCAAACGCCTTTTCAAGATCTAGTGAAATCTGGATGCCTCCCCACAGTCCCTCCGCTCTGGCAAACTGTTGGCACAGAGTTCTAACCGTGCGGCAATGTTCGGATACTAACAGAAGGCAATCACGTGTACCTCGGTGGGGGAGGTAAGCGAAAAGCGGCATGGTTCTGAGCCTATCGAAGGTGTGGCCCATGAGCAAAATACAATGGATTCCTGTATTAACCGGGTGTTGAAGGCAAATCGGTCGGAGTGCAGCCGGCTTATTGGGCGGTTTGTTGGCTTTACTTAGCATTTGAAGCCAACCCGTGGACCAGTGTGCTGGTGGGGTACCATCTGTGTCGAGCCAGGCATGTTGCACTGCTTGATATACAATCGGTGCAATTGCCTGAACAAAGTGTCTCCACACTACCGCCGGGAAGCCGTTAGTGGTGGGCAATCGACAAAGCCCATCAGCAAGGTCATCCTGGGTGAACGGAATGCTGCTCAGTGGGTGGGGTTGAAGGTCAAAATCGGGATCCGTGAACAATAGATTGAAGTGGGCAATCAATAAATCAAGCTCTTGGCGTGGAATCATGGGTGCACCAAATTGATCATGCATCTGAATCCTGCGGAAAGGCTGCTTGGGGCAGAATTTCCGGATATTTCGATACCATTCATGGATACGATTAGTCATGACATGGGCAACGTTCTCCTGCAAGAATTGATCAAATTTGCGTCGCTTGTTGATTCTGCTGAAGCGTCGAATCTGAGCATGCAGCTTATGAAAGATGGTGCAATGCTTCCAGCTATTAAAAAATGACTTGACATTCACAAGAAAAATATATCTGTATAGGGTACGTGCATGCCACATGCGTGCTGTCATGGAACGAAGCTGGTCAGGTTTGTGTGCACTGGCTTGGACAGGTGGGAAATGTTCAAGACACAACTCACGGATCTGAATTTCCATGTGTAGGCAGTTGCTGACTGGATCTGATGTGTGTCCGGCCCGGTGTCTGAGGATGCAACCCTGAACAGCTTGTTCAAATCTTTCCCATCTGGGTGTAGTCTCTTCATTTCCTGACGCAATCGAAAACGATTGATTGCGGGAATCTGAGTGGGAGGCTTACGAATAGCATGCCACCGTGGGAGGTGGATTAGAAGTGGTCTATGCTGAGGTCCTTGATATATTCCAATCCATTCGAATTTATGATCGACCTGTGCACGAAGGTGTCGCCATCGGACTTGGAAGTTACGAAGAAACACGAAGTCGATCCTGGACCGATGTGTTCCGTGCAGGAAAGTGGGTACATACTTTTGATGGCAATGAACAGCTGTTAAGGACAAATCTTGGATCAATTGTTGGAATTGGTGCTTAGCAGCTTGGAGGGCTTGGTTGAAGCGAGGATTAATACTTCCAAGATGGGATGGGTCCTTATTCAGCGGAGTATTGAAGTCACCAGCCAGGATAAGCTGGTGGCCTTTGGGAATGTTCTGTATGCCACGTCTGAATTTGTCCCAAAGATCCTGCCTTGCCAGAAGAAGGCCACGATGGGTCTTCGATGTGTTCCAGGCTGTCAGGTATACTGCATACAGGTCGAAAATCTGGGTGAGCATCAATCTGATGTGCATGAGGCGGCCTGGAATTATGTCATGGTATGCCAGCTGTGACTGTCGAACCAATGTACGGCGGACCATCACCAATAGAGATGCGGACGCCGCATGGCTGTGAACCGGATGATCCATGACTGGACAATGGCAAACAGATCAATGGCTCTGCTTCTTGCACTAATATGACATCTTCCTGCCGTTTGTTGCGCCAGCATAGCCATTCTTGGTATACCAAGCCCCGTGTGGCGTTCTAGGACAGAAGCTTCAGAATAGGTCGTGCAGTCTTCTGCAGCCGTGGAACAGTAGCTCCTGGAGCAGGAATGCGGGAGTGCAGGATCTTAGATTTGAGTCTAGCGGGCACCTCAGCTTCCCACAAAATCCGACCATGGTAAGATGTGGATCCGGTGGCAATGGCCCTTCGGCATGCACGAAAAACGATCTTTTGATTCGTCGGACACGATGGGCTTTAAACATGGCCGTAACCATACATCGCCCAGATTTCACTAGCTTTTGTGCAGGCTTTGTTTGTGGTCTTCGAAGACTTTGCACTTCCGGCAATTCGTGAAATAGATTCGGCAACCCTCACGCCAGATGGGTGTATTTTTTTACCGTAGTCGGGCCGGTAAATTTCAATAGGTGGTATAATTCGAGGGTATGATTCGGGGTATGATTCGGGGGTATAATTCGAGGGTATAATTCGCAAATAATTCGCAACTTTGAAGTTGTATGGTTGGATTAGCCGGACTTCCAGCAGTGGGCCCACCCTGCGCCGAGGCAATAGGCAAGCAACATCTGTTAGATGCTAGGCAGATTAGGCAAATGCATTCTTCCACCAAAGACTCCAGTGGTCCTCTGCAAGCCCCACCAAAACAACCAAGATGTGGGATAGGTAGGAGACTGTGTAGAGATGCGTGATTCGGGTAAGAATATTATAAATACCCCTAGGATATGAGTTTTACTCTTCCCATAAAAAGACCCAAATAATTTTGGCCAAATTAAATGCCCATAGATCACCATTAGTTCATGGACATCTTGGTTCTTACGTATAATGTTTTAAGAGGTATAATTCGGGGGTATAAATCGCTCAAATCGAACTTCCAACCACTACATCAAGAAATACACGCCAAAAAGGTACAAACCCAAATCTAAATCAAAAAGAAAAATTGCTTCAACACTAAAATTCAATCCTCCCAAATTAAAAACCGAATATATCTACAGCTAGCTAATAAAACATAAACCACTAACTAATAAATAAACATTTCGCAAAAAATAATTACAATTCCCCATAACAACAAACAAAATTAAAGAAAGCGGCCGATCTCGAATAAATATAACGCTTAATTTCAATATATAAACAAATATATTCAATATAAATTTATTATTATTTCCCATATTCAATAATATCTATAAAAAAAATATAATTTATATATAAGAATATAAAAAATTATATCCGAAATATATTTAATTAACAATAATTTTTAAATATCATTTCATATTTATTATATCATTCTATTAAAAAAATATTTTATTAATATTAATATCCCTATCCGAATATTAAATATACATAAACAAATCCTACAATCCACCCCAAAAATATAATATCTTCAAATCTCAAAACATCGACATATATTCAACAAACATTACAAAATTCCATTCTTCTAAATAGATATATTTTTCATCCCCACAATAAAGAATTAAAATATCTAAAAACAAATCAACGATAAATAATACATACATATTGCAAATATTATTTTTAATAATGTAAAATTAAAAACAATTATTACATATCATCGAATCCTTAATTCTATACTTAACAAATGAAACCCCATTTATCGTATTAGATCGCACGAACCAACATACATAAATTTACATTTCAATATTATATGAATACATCTTTTCAATTACATAATATCATTAAATTTTTTAACATTCAAACATACACATTATAAATATATATTTTTCAATATTCATGTAAAATACATTAAATATACCTTAAAATCTATCATTCTAAATAATTTATATTTCAATATTTATATAAAATCCATTATTAAAAATGCACCTTAAAATCAATTTCGTTACGTCAATCTATGAAATCATTATATATATAATTCAAAATTATCATTGTATATTACATCAATTGACACTAAAAAATACAATGATATCCCATGCATTGTATCAAACATATTGGCTCTGTCTCTGCTGGATAAATCTACCAAACAAGTATAGAAATCAACCAAACTCGACTCATTTATCAACCATCTTCAAAGTTATTTGAATGTTACCAATCTATTTAATCAAGTCTAAAGGCAGATGCACAATTTGTTTCAAAAAGGGCAATGACCTGTGCTGTCGGACATTCAAATCACTACAGATACTACAGGAAGATGTTCCTTCCTAGTGACGTAGGTCTGATTCAATCATGCACTTAAATGTCAATAAGGCAAGTGAACAGCTGTTGAGTCTGGTTTCTTTGCCAATAGGCCAGGCCTCGTGTGATGTCATCTCAATCTTTGCCTCCTTAGAAGCATCAGCTGCAGATTTCACTTGTGAGAGGAATGCGTAAGACACCTCAAGGGACCAGGTTCGGGTGACATGCCTTCGTCGCTTCTTGATCTCTTTCCCGCTTGGGCATTTAGCAAGCACCTTCTCTGGCTTTGATGTAGTTTGGTATGGATCACCAGTACAACTTGCTTGTTTGTTGAACATGCTCAAATGGTATATAGCTGCAATAGAAGAGACCATTTCCAAGACATCTAAGAACCAAGTGAATCGTGCACGCGCGAGCTATCCTGCGTCCAGTACCTAGTAGCGCGTTACCTAGTAGCTTAAGAAATTATGTAGTAGTGGGCCAAGGCGGCCCTTAAACATTGAGAATACATTTCCGGGCTACAAAACTTGGATCCCTTCCCACTCCACGAACGAACGTGTTTGGACGGGTCACGAAGGATTCTGCATCGATCTCCTTCTGCACTCGACGGTCTGCAGTCTGGTCTTGGTGCCTGGTCCGGTCTGCCGGTCTGCCGTCGTTCCGACGGTTTGCGCACGGGGCATAGTGGATTTCGGCGGATGCGGGTGAAGCCAAGTGGTTTTCTCTGATCTGGACGGCGTGCTCCAGTGAGACCGCCGATTCATTGGACTCCCAAAATCAATGCAGATCAGGCCTGACAAAGCGAGGGAAGACTGCTCTATATTGGTGGACCACCCCCGGGCGGGACCTTGCCTCGTTTTCCCGCTCTCGTTTTCCGAAACATGTTGGAGACGCACTCTTTTGGAATATGTTCAGTGGTTCGGAGGACTCTAGCAACTTGAGCCGGAAGGAATGTTGAGCACACTTCTATCTAATTGGAGCTGGCTGATCCCAATTCAAAGGCGGCTTCCGACGTTGGCCTGTTGAATTCATAAACTGCCACAGACATCTGACAAACAAGTCATCCCAAAAATCTCCAAAGACATTCTTTTTTTCTGGTGCAAGCAGCATCCCAACGACTTTTCATGAGTTTCTTAGTCATCATAGCAACATCCCCCCCACATGTACACACCTTGCAGATCGCCTTCGGGAACCAGGTTCCACATCTGGCACGTCGTTCAGGTCCTGGGGCTGATGAAACCCAAATGAACTTCAATGGAGCCCGAACATGCAAAAACCATCGATTGGAGACTTCGGATTCTTAACATTTCTTAACTATTCCATAGATTCCATAGTCTTGAAAAGAACCCAACGGTTTTTTCGGTGTCTAGGGGGAGGCAGGCGAGGCAAATCCACCACTAGGTCCTTCCGATTGGCACCGGCACGCGGACTGACACCACGCTGATGGTGGCTTCCCACGGTCCTTGACGTGGATCATCTGATTCCGCTCGTGCATGAGGTCGGTCCTGCCAAGGCCGCTTTACAAAGAACATGGGCATATTCTACAGATCAGGGAGGTCAAATATTTTGAAGGATTCTGCTCCTGTACGCCCTGACCACACATTTCTAGCTCCCCACCCCAACCACAATGCTGCCCCATCTTGCTAGTTGCCTCCAACATACGGAGTGAGGCTAGTTTAAACATCTGCGTCAAATGCCTGCCCCCTGGCTTTTCTCCGCAAACGATGCGGCTGACTCAGGTACAGCACACCGAAAACGCCCAAGTAAGGCTCTATGCCCTCTTGCACGGTACATCTACCGAGTTCGTTTTGGCACTCTCATGCTGCCCAAGGTGAGCGTACCATGGGATCCAACAACATTGGGAACAGCAACTTTAGGCTGCTGCGCAGCTGCCCAAGGTGCAAAACGACACCAGAGCGTTGGGCGTTTGCGAATTCTCAGGAATTCTTCGGCTCAAACGGAGCGTCCGGTTCTTCACAGCGAAACAGCTTTGCCCACAGGACGATGCACTCCGGTTTGACCACTCAGTTGGAAGGCCTGGAAGAGAGACACTTCTCCCCTGCATCACCCATAGGTAGTTTGCATCATAATGGTCCAAGACATCTCAGAATGAAGAACGGTTTGGCTTGTTTTGCCGAAGTAGAACATGATGGATGGCAGAATTGGTGCACAGCACACCACCTGTACTGCCTGTTGATTTTACACAAGTTCGTCAGCTACCAAGGGTTGTGCTTGGGATCACTTTTCATCAACTCTGAGAATACCCAAAGTACAAAGAACTCATTGAGATTCATGGGTCCATTTTTGTCCCTCACAGGGCCAAGTATTTCGTCGTCTGTTCGAGGGACAAGCTCTCGAGCTTGTCTCCAGTTGCACCTTAACTCCACGCTCAAGTCTCATCTCCCTCCCCCTAAGGTCCTAGGAGCAGTTTCGGGCCGGACATGTGAGCTCTGAAACCTGGTTTTCCTGAACGCATGCTCCACCCAATGAGCCCAAGTGTGTGAATGTCAATTCTAATTAATGGAAACTATTAGCTTCAGCTGCCCACCTTGGATGCAAAACCAAACAGCCAAGCCATTCTCGCTCCCATTCTTGGCCAGGGCACCTTTGCCGTTCCCAGTATAACTCTTCGCGGTTCTCCCAGGCGTTGGGTGGCTTTTCCAGATCCTCTGCCGTCCAAACACAGCCGCCCACAGTCCTCACAGAGACCGACTGGGTCGCGCAGGTCACGCGGGTCGCGCAGGTCATGCGTGTGTCTCTGGGTTGAACATTGGGCATTTCAAGAAAATGGGCTATTGAGTCAGAGACTTGCTGCGCACCGAATATCATATATATATATACACATATACATACAATTAGAATTGATTAGAATTATATATTACATCAGGATTGAAGTCACCAGTGCTGCCCCAGGACCTTTTGAAGTCAGCAAACAACTTCAACACCTCAACATCTCAAACAGCTCGGAAGCAAACCGATATTAATCTCTGTCTTCCATGTGAGATCATGTAAGGGATGCTAAAATATCCAAGTTCTTTTTCTGTCAAACATGTTGATCTCAAAGAGCGCTGTGACTTATCCACAAAATTCCGACTTTCCGGTCGTCCCTCACGGGGCAAGCCACCAGGGCAAACCAGTTCGGTAAAGAAAGCCACAGGAACACCCAGTGGTTTTGGGGTCACTCTCAAGCCCATCTGCAGTCAAGCATTCACAGGCAGAAGGGACTTTCGATTCCCCTTTCCAGAAGGCTTTTGGACTTGCACTGAGCTTTCAGCGTTGCTTTTGTTACATATGAATTGCATCAGCCTAGGTCCGAACCCCACAAATCACCTGGTATCACACCCTGTACTGCCCAATCTATGTAGACACCAAGAATCCAACACGTTACAACTGTCTTATCACACATTCTTCATTTTTTTCTGCTCACAAAACGCCCCAAATCAGTTTTGATCCCTACCGCTTTCTTGCCAAGTGTCGTTGGATCACACTCCTTCTTTTCACCACCCATCGCTTTCCCGCAGTTCTTGCTGTCCACCTTGGGTGCTGCGTCCGACCTGGGTTGACAGAATATGATCCGAGCATCAACAACACGACAGCACGCTTGGAAGGAAACATCGATTTGCCATTGTCACATTCCCAAATCCAAAGCAAGATCATTGCCACACATGTGGGTGTCTGAAAAACTGACACCATGTGGCAGAAAGGAACATGGAATATCATGGAATCCAGAATCCAGTTTCTTTTCTCAGCCCAGACCATAAACCTCATGCAGTCCAACCTCAAACAGTGTTTCAGCCTGGCCACATGGACTCCTTTTGTTCAGCGCTCATCAATGGCTCCAAATACCACTTGTAGAGTGGCGCACAGTTGCACGGCAGCCGGGCCTCAATGCACTGCTCTCCAATGGAATCCGGTGTCTGGATTGTTCGTGAATGGGGTCCTCGAGAATCATTAATCTATTATTTCAATTTAAAGAAATGTTAAGGAGTGTTCGGAAGACATGAGAATAGCTGTCGAAGTACCATCCTCCTCAGTATCAGCAGTTCACACCCTCTTCATCCCTCTTCCAACACTCCGGGAAGATGACACTACACGACCGCACGACTGACGCCCTATGGCCTGTTGCTGCATGGCGATCAGCTTTGCGACGGCGATCGCGACCCTCCGAGCGAAAGGGCCTGAACCACTCTGGCTTCCACTCAGGCTTTCTCAGATTCTTTATATCGCTTCAACATAGTATGATGAAAAGCGTAGCTCTACACCTATCTTGAACCAATATAACATCCTCTGCTCCCCTTTTTATGATTTTTTTCCTCATGTTCTGTCTGGATCCCCATGTCCTGACATCTTCGGATTCAGCCTCCTCCCCTTGGGCCACGCCGTTGGTTCTGAAGAACAACCACTCTCCGGGCCGAGGCGCATTCCCCTCAGCATCGGGAATATTATACGCCGGCATGATACCAGCAGGAAAACAGAAGCCCTTGCCATGCACTGGCCCTCCATAGGTCGCATCCATATAGGAGGCCCAGGACATTGTACCTCTTCAGGGTAACTCATGGCCAGGTTACCAAGAACACACCACATACAAACATGGCCACTACTCGGGGACAAGCGAGGAATTTGACACCTGACGACACTGCTCGCCAGCGACACGTAGGGGCAAAGCTGATGAGGTTGGACCAAGGAAGGTCATCAGTCTGACATGATGGGCCTCAAAATCCCCCAAAAAGGATCCCTCAAAGCTTTGGCTTACAGAATCCTTCCTTCCTACATTCCCCATGTTCTTTGATTATCGGGCAACTCCTGAAGAACACACATCTCGACACAGCAAGACCGTCCATACCAGGCAATCAGAAACGGTTTTAGTATGTTTTAGTGGTGTGCACAAGCCACGGCTCCAGTCATGAACACGATAAAGGAGATGGATGACCCATTTCGATCACTGGAGCGGCTTCAATCTTCCTCTGTACCAGCGGTGCTGTGTTAAAACTAAGTCGACCTTCCCAAGCAAGATTGGCCAGGCCAAGAATTCAGGTGTCAGATCACCCCTTTCGCCGAATGCTGGTGACAGGCGGCCATTGTGGCGAAGGGCTACCCACTTGGCTGTGACTTTTGGCGATTCTGAACATGAACGGCTACCCATCTGTTTCTCGTCTCACCGTCTCTCGCGGAAGAAAAACAACACGCCGAAGGTTTGAACGGCTTTCATGGGCACCGATCAGCGTCGCAAAGAAGGCGTAGCCGGTGCTCCGCAGGCGATCTGAGGTTCGCGATGCCATGGTGAGTGTTCTAACAAATATCCAGGTAGACTCTTGAGGACCATAAACCCCCCATAGTTGATGGACTTCCAATTCAAATGGAAGGGTATCAAACTATCAAGAGTCTACATGAAGCATGCAAAAACCCCCATCCGTGTCTCTGTATGAACAACCATCCATCGCAAAACGAGACCGAACGCACGCTTACGGGGTGACTGCTTTCACCCCGCTAACGACAGGACCGTCACATGAGAACGAAAAGCAAACGAATGAGGCGAATGAAACACGACCGTCTCAAACAAGTGAGAACGGTTGACTACACCTCAACCATCTTCAACCCAACTCAAACTGATGCTAGTCGAGGACTCGGAGAGTCTCGTGTTGAGATTGTGGCTCCATGAAATGAGTAAGTCCTACGTTTCAAGCAACAAAATCAGGTCCTAAGTCTTAGCAAGGCACAGCATTTTGCCTGCTGCGCAGTGTTCTACCAAAAGAAATCCTCACGAAAGCCGTACTACAGTAAGTGAATGAGCATACCCACCTGTCATGTCACCCCACTTAAGGCATAGCTGTGTCACAACCCCCCCCCACCATTTTTGCGAAGCTCCCGTGAAGTGCCTGAGTTGCGCTTCCGTTCTTCTTGCAGAATCTCTTCGTTGCTGAGGTTTGTCTTCTCTACGCGCTGCTGCTCCACCTGTCCCACGCGCATGAAACACGGTCTGGGCGCCCCGGTGCACAGCTCAACGTCTCAGGAGCCGTTGAACGAAAAACATGGACACAACTACCGCAACTACAAACATCAAAAACGCCCGGGACTGGGATCACTCATCACTCCTCTCTCCTCTTTTTCGCCCCTCGACTCAACTCGAGGCCGCCTCTTGGGCGCTGCGCTGGAGATTCAAGCGGATGAGCAGTCTGAGGCGAACGGAGGACGGACACCGCGGCTTTTCCCAAGAACGAACGGAATAGTTCCGATCGCTCCGTTCGTAGTACGGCCAGGAGCCCCGAACGTAGCGAACCTTGCTCCGTTCGTAGCGATGCCCTTTGCTCCTAGTAGCTTCTAATAGACTACTAGATACTAGACATGGTCAACCTAGCAGGGATTGGTTCCCACAGCGGTCACACTGCGTGGGTTCAATTCAAAGACATGGTCACACTGCCCAAGACAATTTCTGTGTTCATGTGTGCTGTATCGATTGTGTCAATCAACCAATTTCTGCCACGTGACTCTAATCTACATAGCAAAA